CTGGCCATTTTTGCCTTCCAGAAGCATTCTGGCTGTACTTTTTCAAGATGGATCTGTTTCTGTCACGGCAAATCCTTATGGGAGCAGACAGCCACCTCTTTCTCCTCCAAAGCAACCAATGACTTGGAACCATAGGCGTTTGAATGAGCACGCAAGTGCTTAACCATCATAGCACCACCTCCTTATCTGATACTGATATCTGATAATAATTTATGTGTGCATTGTTTTTCCACCCCACTGGAAGTCAAGCTCCGTATTTTGTCTGTCTGCTTCACTGATGTCTCTCAAGCACTTGGAATTGGGTACAATGGAGCCTATTCTGATGCAGGACAACCTCCAGGTGTGCTTCCCCTTCGGAGTTAGTTGTGTGCTGGATTCGAATTGCCTAGCTCTCAGTTATCAGGCAAGCATGTAAAACATTGAGCCACCAGGGCCAGGGAGTAGAGATTTGAAAGTATTTGTTAAGTAGCTAAGTAGCAACCAGCGCAGCAAGGGCAGTCCTGTTGAACCCTGTCTCCATTCTTCCCTTCTCCTGCTCTACAGGCTTTGTCTTTTACTGAATGACGGGTAACTGAACTGTTCATCTGAGAAGGGAAAAGACATTTTTTGGGGATATAATCCTTTATTTTTGTGCCTTGTAACTTTCCCTGTGCCCTGAGTTCTTGTTAGATTACAGACAGACAGATGGACTGAGATGTTTCCTCTGTGTAGTTTTTTGTTCCTTTGTCCTGCATTTGTTTGATCCCTTGGGCTTGTTAGCTGTGTCTGCTGAATGTCAATCTTTCTCTATTTGTACTATCATTGACACCAGATTATTATATTGATTTTTTTGTCTTTGAAAATCTTAAAACTATAGCATAAAACTTCAAGAACATTTTTTAACTTCAAAAGATAAAAATATTTTATGTTAATATTATTAGATTCAGCAGGAGCCTTGGAGCCAAACCACTTTTCATGAAATTCTGGTTCTAACATTTTTTTTCTTTGTATAAAACATCAAATTTTATTTTATTATTATTTTTAAAAATCATCTTATTGGGGGCTCTAACAACTCTTATCACAATCCATACATATATCTACTGTGTCAAGCATATTTGTGCATTCGTTGCCCTCATCATTCTCAAAATATTTGCTTTCCACTTAAACCCTTGGTATCAGCTCCTCATTTTCCTCCCTCCCTCCCCGCTCCCCACTCCCTCATGATCCCTTGATAATTTATACATTATTATTATTTTTTAATGTGTTTGAATATGTCTTATATGTCTTCAAAGCAGATCTTCCACATCTCAAAACTTACTTGTTGGTTTGGTCCACGGCTGTAGAAATCCCATTTGGAATTAAATCAACATGTTTTTTGTCCCAATATATCTGTAACCAAAATGGATTCCAATAGAAAACATGAAAGAACAGCATAATGTCCCCAACTGCCTATCACCCCAGTGTTGCTAGTACACCATGTTTCTTTACAACATTCAAAAGAGCTTACAGGAAATAATTATTTGGGCAGTTCGGCCTTTTTAAAAAGCTGTCCGGTCACCCACTACCCCCTAGAACGTGTCCATGTTCTATGGGAGAAAGTATTCCCTGTATTTGTTTGCCTCATTTCCATGACTCCAACCATTGACTCTTCACTTCAGTTGTCAATCAATCTATAGCTAGAAGGTATTACATGAGGAAGGGAGGGAAGTCACACAGTGCAGATGTAAATTTTTCTTAAAAAATGAAGGCCCCTCAACCAGGTTGGAATGATGACCCTTGTGAAAATGTCACCAGTATCAGTGAATAATTTGTGTAGAAGTTGGTAAATGGAAACTTATTTTGTTATGCCAATTTTCACCTTGAGCACAATCTTTTTTTTTTAAAGCGGCATCTTCAATGTGTGATCAACATTGTTATTCTCATCATTGTTATTCTTAGCTGATGCCAAATGGGCTTTGGTGCCTGGGGACCCCGGTGTTCAGAGTCGAACTGATCCACAGGGTTTCCAAGGTTGTGACTCTTTGGAAGCAGATTACCAGGCCTTTCTTCTGAGGTACCTCTGGGTGGGTGTGAACACCCACACTTTGGGCTAGTAGTCGGGTGTTAAACAGTCTGTGTTACCCAGGAATGTCTTATTTAAGAGAAATCTAGCTCACTACCACTAAGCTGATGCTGACTCATAGAGGCCCCATAGACAGGCGAGAACAGGCCCGCAGCGGTTCTGAAACCATAACTCGTTATGGGAGCAAAAAGCTACATCTTAAATAACTAAAAGTAAAAAATATTTCACCACCGTAATTAGTGTTACTTAGAATTTTGTTTACGGTATGTGTGTGTGTATGGGGGGAGCGGGGCAGCTCAAACAACCAGATTAAACCTAAACCATACGATGGCTTGTATTCGTACTCACGGAAAAATGTAGGCAGAGTTCTTCTGCAATGTCGTCAGCTTCATCATGGAGGACCTCTTGCAAACTCCTAAAGAAAATTTGGGTTTAAACATTGTTTAGACTGAACTCTTCAACATTTCAAAAATAATAAACATTTATTGGGGAAAAAACGGAACTATATGGAGAAGTATAACAAAGGCAAGATCAGTGTCTTCTCTTCCATGTTCAGTCCCCCTTCCCAGAGCTAACTTCTGCAGTCGGAATTGTCGCCCTCTGCTCTCACAGCAAAGGGAGCAACAATGCATCCTTTCCTCCGAACTAGGGGTCGGCAAGCCAATCCTGTCCCTCACAATAATCTAAAAATAGTTTGAGAGCCATAAATATATATTTACAAACAAATGAAATCACCATTGAATTTTTCAATTTTACTTCAGTCACATGGACTTACTGAAAGGCTCAAGAACTGCAGCTTCCTGACCCCTGACCTAGACCAGTGATTCTCAGAGGGGTGATTTTGCCCTCTAAGAGACGTTTGACCAAGGCTGGAGTCATCTTTAAGGAGCTCTGCTGGTGTAGTGGCTGCTTGGCAATCCGAAAGATGGGTGGTTTGACACCACCAGCTGATCCAAGAGAGAAAGATGGGACCCTCGACCACCGTAAAGCATTGGTCTCTGCTGCATGCCCTTCACGTGGAGAGCACGCAACAGATGGGTGCCACAATAAATGTGGTGAAGATGTGGGTGGTGCCCAGCTGTTCCAAAGAATAGCATATGTAACCTTAAAGGCTTGTCTTCAAACAACTGAGGAGACATCAGCTAAGTCCACATGGAAGAAGAACACCAGCCCGTGTGATCCAAAGATTGCAAAGAATATAATCCAAATCCCAAAGAGGGAATGTTATCTGAGTTCGAATTATGAACTCCTGGTTTGCAGAAGGCTATGGATAACAATGGACGGCTCAATCCATTCAGAGGACCTACACATCAAGGGACTTTCTCGTGATTTCCCTCTGGCCCTAGTCATGGAACGAGAACAGCCTGGTTTTCAGACAGAGTATTGTAGATGATTATGATAGATGATAATCAATTATAATAGATCATCATGATGATGATAGATTAAAACCTAACATCTGATTTGAATGGTTAAAAGGTAACATCTGATTTGATCCTCTTTTTGACACAAAAATCTCCTTTTAAAAAACAAGGTGAAGGAGAACGACATGTGGATGAAGCCTCCAGGGAATCCCCTCTGAGGATAGACCAGGGACGTGAATACCTGGCTGTCATACAGAGTGCATGGAAAAGGAAAAAGGAATATGACAGGTCTAACTAGGTTAAAATCTAACATCTTGTCACTTGAGCTCCCTTTGGCCCATTTTAAAGTTGTTCTAGTTTTTAATATTTTCTGTTTTCTTTCCAACTGAGATTTTTCTCTATTTTATTTTGTTGTTCTTTTTGGTTTAGTTTTATTTTTTGAGTCTTTGTTTTGCATATTTGTGTTTTCCGGTATATGAAATACAGGCTGGATAAATCTTCAGAGACAGTGACTGGATTAGACTGGGGGTGCAGCAAGGGAACTTGAGGGGAAATGGGAAGCTAATAACAAAGAGTACAAGAAAATAATGTTCTAAAATTGACTGTGGTAATGATTGTACAACACTTCTTGATATGCTTGAACTATTGAATTATATGATATTTGGATTATGTCCCAATAAAGTTTTGTTTTGATTTTTAATACTTGGGCTGGATGCTTTGGTGCTTGGAAAGCTGAAAGATTTTGGAAGTTTTAAAAAATTTATTTTGTTTTCATATCCATGGAAAGTAAAATTAAATTGAAAAAAATAGAAACAAACAGGTTAATAAAATTAAGAATTAGCATTTCAGAAACTCACGGGGACAGTTCTACTGTCCCTATGGCTCAGCATTGACTTGACAGCAATGAATTGTTTTGTTTGTTTTATCATATCCTTGGCTGTCATAACTGGAAGGGGGGCTGCTTCTGGCATTGAGTGGAAATGCTGCCAGCCATCCGACAATGCACAGGGGCCCCACAACAAAGAGTTCCCAGTCAAAAATGTCAAGATTGTTGATGAACCCTTATCTGTCCTGTCAGGGCATACAGGGTAAAGCCAGGCAGTTGATTCTTCTGCTGACAGTACACGAGAGCAGAGAGCCCTTCTCCCGAACCTTCTGCCAACCCTAGATTTCATAACAAAATCTAGTTCAGCAGTTGTCGATCTGTAAGTAGAAAAGGACACTGCAATCCCTTGCTTCCGTTCTAGTGAAGATGAGCAGACTTTCCTTTGTCGACTGTTGCTGTGTGGGCCCAACAAGTCGGCTCTGACCCCAGCAACTCTGTGTTCATAGGGACAAACACCGGTCCTGCGGCGTCCTCACAATCATTGTTATGTTGGAGTCCATTGTTGCTACCACAGCTCAATCCGTTTCATCAAGGGTCTTCCTCTTGTGCACTGCCCTTCTAACTTACCGAGCACCATGTCCTTTTCCAGGGACTGGTCTCTCCCGATCACATATGGAAAGGACGAGACAAAGTCCATCTTGTTGACAGTCACTTCCTCTTCCGTCTCCTCCTCCCCCTCCTCCTGCTTTTTAGGGCTGCCTCTCTACTTTACCAAACATGATGTTCTTTTCTGGGAATTGGTCTCTCCTGACAACACATCCAAAGTACATGAGATGAGGTGTTGCCATCTTGCTGCCAAGGTGCATTCTGGCTTCCGTCCACGACAGAGCCTTGTGTTCCTCTGGCAATCTATGGTGGTTTCAACAGTCTTCACCAGCACTCTAATTCAAATACACGGATTCTTCTTCGATCTTCCTCGTCTGCTGTCCAGCTTTCACGTGTTTATGAGGTGACTGAAAATATCATGACTTAGGTCAGGAAACCCTTAGCCCTCAAAGTCACATCCCTGCTCTTCAACATGTTAGAGGTCTGGGGCAGCATATTCACCCAGCACAACGTGTTGTTTGATTTCTTGGCTGCCACTTCCCGGAGCATTCCTCTTTCATTAGCGACATCCAGCGTAGGTCTGCGTGAGGTGGTGTGTGTGCAGAGCGGAACTGCTCCACCGGGATAGGAAAGCTGGGACCTTTAGGAAGGAGATCAGTAGGCTGTCTTCGGAGCTGCCTCTGGGTAGGCTCAAACCATCAACCTATTGCCTACTAGTTAAGTGCTAACTCTTTACCTGACCTAGATTTAGCCCTTCCACCAAGTCCTGAATTAATCACTCATTTCCCTCTCTTTGTTTGCTATCAGCATAACAGATTCAAGTTAGACAGTCCAGAATTTATACCCTGTATCTCCATTGACAATTTATAAATCTCAGCTGAGTAGAAATTAGCAACAACAATATGTATGCCAACAGATATATTTATATAGCAAAATACATGAGGGTAAGTAAAAAAAATTGCTACAAAACCAAAGAGAACTTTCTTAACCAAAAATATCAAAATGTGAAGCTATTGTTTCTCAATGCATCCTCCATGTAGGTCAGTGTTTCCCAAAACCATCAATTCCACCCCCTGAGGGTTTCTGGGATGATCCCTGGGGAAACCAGATAGACTTTCTCCTGGATGAGAGGCTATCGTACAAAGGTTTTCATTGCCAAGGTAGGAATGCTATGTAATTTTTTTCTGAAAAGGGGGTGGTAAGCCAAATAAGTTTGGGAACCTATGCTCAAAGTCTATATACTTCTGAAAGTACTGTTTCCATCTCTATAACCTTTATGCAAAGAATTTTATGCCCCTCAATTTGCACCACATCAAAACAGTTTAGGCGTCCTTGAGGGAATGAAATCATGATCCTTTTACGTCTTCTTTGAGTTTGGGAATGGAAAGAAACCTAAAAGGGCATGGCCAGGGCTCTAGGACAGATAGGGTGAAGTTTCCCAACAAGATGCACATTCAACAGCCCTTACTACCTTTGTAGCATGAGAAGGTACACTGTTTGAGCAGGAAAAAAATTCCTGGGCATTCCCCTGGCCTTCTCCACAATAGTGCAGTTTCTATATTCGTAAGATGCCCCGCATTAAGCTTTCATGACCATCCTATGTCTTTTAAGAAATTCTATCACAGTTACCCCCTCTCAATTCCCTACAGGATAGGGTAGAACTTCCCTGTGAACTTCTACTCTTTATGGGAGTAGAAGGCCCCATCTTTATCCTGTGGAGTAGCTGGTGGTTTGGAACTGCTGACCTTTGAGATTGCAGACAAATGCTTAACCACAGTGCCACCAGGACTTCTAGATAACCCTTTAGGGGTCCCACAAAAGAGTCACTACAACCTGCTGAGCTGACCTCTTTACCTTGAATTTAACTGATCCACCATAACCCCTCAGAAGCCACTGTTTTGATTGGATCTTTTTAAAGGCACTGTGGTAGTTACATAATCTGGGGTCAATTTGGGACTTGAGAGGATTAAAAGTGAAGGGGTGGAATCTATCCTGTAATTGAGTCATAGCCAATGAGGCCTCTGTGTGGGCATGGCCTTCTCCTGAGGATTCTGGGAATTGCTGTATATCCTCCCTGGAGGCGGGAGACATTTCTCTCTCTGCTCACTCCCTTGGAGTCTCTCTCTCTGCTCACTCCCTGAGAGATGTTCTGCTGACAAGACACATGGCACTATGATGATAGACCTTGTACCCTGGGAACTGGAGGAGCCATGTGGAGACCCCTGCCAGCGCTGAGATGTTTCTACCACCACTGGATCCACAAGACTTTGCACCCACTGGCCTGTAATCTTCCTGCATTCAGTGTCATTGCCTGTGTTTCATGAGTCTGAAGAGGACTTTATAGATTGGTATCAGACATATGGGCTAATATTAGACTTATGGACTTGATCTGGACTGGGCTGGGATGTTTTCTCAATATTCAACTGCTCTTGTATATAACCCTCTTTCTTATACACATATGAATGTCTGTGAATATGTTTCTCTAATCTACCCAGACTAACACAGGCACTCAACAGGACTAAGACAAGTATATTACTGAGACAATTTGTCTGCAGCCTCCCAGTGAGTGCAGAGACTTGTTTAAACATGTTTTGTTTGAGATACACTCGTGCATGTTCGAACTGGAACCTTGGTAGCAATCCTTTTAAAATTTACCCTCATATATGTCCCCATGGGACAACACACATATATTTCTATATCCAGGATTCTTGGTCTATCTGAGACGTCGTCGGTGTTTTCTGCTACAGGGTGTGTAGCTTATCTTTTAGAACAGGTATTTGTCAACCCTTAAAAAATAAATGATGACTGCTGAAATATTTGAGCAAAACGTATGGAGTAGGGACGATTTCTCTGTGACTATGAGAGCTGCTTTCCATGGGAACAACTTGAAGGGACAAGGACGACAGTGTCACCCCAATCCTCGCTGCCATCACATTGACTCTGGCGCACGGTGGCCCCGTGGATCAGAGGAGAGCTGTGTTCCAGAGGGTTTTCAGCGGCTTGTTTTTCAGATGTTGATCACCAGGCCTTTCTGCTGAGGTGTCTTTGAGTGGATTCAAACCACCAGCCTTCTAGTTAGCAGAGGAGCATGCTCACTACCCTCTCCAGAGACTCCCTGTTGATTGCACTGGTTCTTAAAGAGAGAACCATTTGGTTTGTACTCATTGTTGAAGGTTTAATCTGCAAGGCATGCTGAAATTCAAGTGAATGGAAGTACCCATACCTACATTTATGAAAATTGGAAAACTAGCCTATGTGTTTGTGTGTGTGTACAATATTATTTATCTCTGCCTACACAACCAAGACATCATAGATATAATCTAGGAATAGATATAATCTATTTACTTACTTCCCCAAAACGGGACTTAGTTCTTTTAAATCTTCCAGAGTTGGCATTTGGCCCAAAAGTTTCTTAAACAGAGCCAGTGGAAAAGGAAGGTAGGCAACATTTAAATTGAATAAGGAGAGGCCGCACAATATGCCAAAGAGGAAATATCTGTCCTTTTCAATTTCAGGCTGAAAAAAGAGAGAGAGGGAAAAAACATATGTATTATAAATAACCAAATATAGAAAGGGATAAGTACATGAGTATTTTTTTTGGTATTTTATTTCCTAAAAGTTACAAATTAGAAGCAAAATAGACTCTAGGAAAATGGACATTTGGGACTCTTAAACAGACTGTAATATTATTTGTGTCTTCCATAGTTGTAAGTACACATTAATGAATACATTAATGAACGAACATGAAGTTTTTGTTATCACTGGCACATATGGAATCTTTAAAAAATATACTCAGATAATCCATATTGTTTTTACTATTTAATATTATCATTGCCTTCAAATTCATGTAGAAATGCACAAGGCTTCAAAATGGTTCATTCCAGTTCAAAACCCTGTTGAGAATTTCCATTTCCTGGTGATCTAGTTAAAGCGTAGATTCTAATTTAGTGTACCTGAAATGGGCATGCATGTTCTCAGTGTAGGTTCCACAGGACCTTGAAAGGATGTGAGTATTATGGATTGATTGTGTCCACTGCCCCTCCACCCTCACCCCAAACCCATCTCAACCCCATAGAGACCAGTCACTGAAAAAGGACATCATGTTTGGTGACATGGAAGGACAGTGAAACGAGGGGGCCCCTTAATAAGATGGATGGACACAGTGGCTGCAACAATGTGCTCAAACATAAAAGCTCTGAGGCTAGCCAGGGCCAAGAAGCACCCTCTTTGCTGCTTCCTGCATTGTTCGGTTTGCTGCCCAGAGAATCTTTCAATATTGCAACTCGCGTCTCGAATTACATTCCCATCCAATAATGAATGAGAATCTACAGTTTATTAAGGCCCTTAATTGACTCACGAATATACAAATATCTTGTTAAAATAGAGATTCTGATTCAATCTCTCTGCGGTGGAAATACCAATTACCACCAGAGATTGGAGCGAGAACAACAGAACAAAGCTGGTTGGGAGCCCTGCTTCCCCCCACACTGTGAGGGATACACCCTTCCCCTAGAGCCCAGAATTCAGACGTCTCGTCTTCTGACCTGGGGCGTGGGCCGGTGCTTCATCTGAAGCTTGCCTTGCGGTATATCTGTTGACAAGATTAGGAAACTCAGACACTTTCGAAGGCCATTGAATATGACAGATGAAGGCTATGAAGGTTGTCTCCTTCAGCAGGACCTAAGTACAGCTTAAGCGTAGTTTCTTCTGGAGCAAAGCATGTGGGTGGGAAAGTGACTGAGGCGGCGAACTGTGCAGGTGGAGGAAGGAAGAAAGGGAAGCAAGAAAGACCCTGGCGGCTCTGGCTTTGTTTCTCTTCCACACCTTGTAGCCCCGATGAAAGAAAAGGGAAGAGGGCTTCAGAAAGTTCATGGAGGAATTCCAATATCTTTTATTCCATTTCCCCAGGAACTTCGTGAAGCCTTTCACACTGGCATCATACTCGTATGTCCAGGCCATCAGGTAAGCCCACTGGAGAGACCACTCACTCAACCAACTCACTGCCATCGAGGCCATATCAACTCATGGCAGAACTCTGCCCTGTGGGTTTCTGAGACTATAACTCTTTACCAGAGTAGGATGCTTAATTTTTTTCCCCCTAAAACAGTGGTGGTGTACCAAATAAGTTTGGAGTCTGTGGTGTAGGGCATATTTGAAGCCACTCACTTTTGAGCTATAACAATGCAGACCAGGCACAGAAGAAGCAGGAGCAATGGGGGCAGATTGATGGACGGATGTCACCTGGAGCTCACCAACTGCCACCTCCTGGATGAATGCCACAGCAGTGGAGACAAGCATGTTTCCCCAGAGCCCACAGAGAGAACCATCCTGTAGCGTTGGTTCCCAAACTTATTTGGCCTACCACCCCCTGCTCAGAAGAAAGCAAAACAAAACATTATCAGGAGGACCCCCTAAGCAATAAAAAGTTTTGAACTATAGATCATAACCCAGGATAAAATGTAGATAATCTGCTTTTGCAGGCCCCTGGTGGTGTAGTGGGTTATGCATTGGGCTGCTAACCCCAAGGTCAATAGTTCAAAACCACCAGCTTCTCTAAGGGCAAAAGATGAGGCTTTCTACTCCCCACTTTGTTTTGAGAGCGTTACCGTGTGCCGTAGGTCCCTATGAGTTGGGGTCGGCTTGCTGGCAGTGAGTTGGAGAGTTCAGAGTGGCTCAGTGGGTGGGCATTGGGGTGCTACCCGCTAGGTCAGTGGTTGGAACCCACCAGCAGCTTCTCGGGAGAAAGAGGAAGCTTTCGACTCTTGTCAGGTGTTGCAGTCTCAGGAAACCCACAGGAGCAGTTCTGTTCTTAAGGGTCCATTGTCTCCATGGCAGCGAGTTTGGTTTTTTGGGTAGGTCGTTTCAGTACCCTCCAGGGGGCAGTATTGCCCACTTTGGGAAATACTGCCTTAAGGCTGCAACCTCGACTCACTTCCTTCAGCCTCCTAAATGATGAGAAACATTTTTTCTGTTTGAAAAAGCCACCTTGTGATGGTATTTCTGAGGAGCTCTGGTGGTGTCGTGGACTATAGGATGGGGTACTAGCCAAGAAGTCGGCAGTGTGAACCCACCGGCTACTCAGCAGGAGAAAGACGAGGCTTTTTGCTCCTGTAAAGGCTTACATGTTGCAATCACTTGGGTGGCAGGAATGGTATTTCTCAGACGGCAGCACAAAAACACTCAGATGAGAACCACTGATGTACAGTCTCATGGTGGAAGTTTGGGTCCATGGGACAGGGTTTTTTTCCCCTTCAGAAAAAAAATGTATAAACTATAAAAGCGCAAAGGGTTTTTTTTTTTGTTTGGTTTGTTTTCACCACTGTGAGATCTTTCGGGTTACTCGGGTTAATATTCTGTTGAGATTTTCCCCCCAATTCTGCTGAGATCTTTCCGAGTGTAGTCAATCATCCACATAGTTCATGTGAATAAATGACTTGCTAACCCGTGGGGGAAAAACAGCACTCAGTTGGAGGATCGCTCTTTCTTAAAGTGACACACAGACCTTTCGGTAGTTCCCCACCCATCCTTCTTTCTCCTTCTCTTCCTTGTCTCTTTTGGGTCCCAAGTTTTCACTATATCATTTGAAATAACATCTGGAAGTTTAAGAGTAAGGGGGTCAATAAGCAGAAGCTCTTTCTAGAGATATTTATTCTGTGCTATTAATAGAGAAAAGTGGGCAAGTCTTTCACTACATCAAGAAAGAAAAATGTTTTTATTGGCGGGAATCTTTATTAATTTCTTTATTTAAAATAAATCAGTTCAGCTTATTAAAATCGGCAGTTGTTACTCAGATTCAATCAATATTTTCCCTCCCAAATTGAAATACTCTCGATCAGAGCTTCTCTCAGAATCTGGGAAGCCACTAAATTCTCCATCAAGAGGCATCTGGGTAAATGAACGATGCTATTTGCACAGAAGAGTAATTTGTGGTTAGTGACCACCAAGTGGGCTGCAACTTGAGGCAACCGACACGTGAACTTTTGCTGACCTATGCATTAGTAAAGCACTTAGCAATCGGAAGAAATGAATTCTGGGTCCACACCATAGCATGGATGAATCGCAACATAATTATGGTGGTGAAAGAAGGCAGATGCAAAAGATGACATAATGATTCCATTATATAAGATTTAGAGAAAGTCAAGCGAAGCCATGGTGAGAGAAAGCAGATCAGTGCTTGCCTAAGTGTCCGGGAAGGCAGGAGGGAGAATCTTGAAAGAAACATGAACAAATCTTTAGTTGTTTTTTTTAACATCAAAGAATCACTGGTGGCTCAGTGTGTTAAGCATCGGCTGCTAAGTGAAAGGCTGGTGGCTCGAACCTACCCGCAGCTCCGTGGGAGCAAGCCGAGGCAGTGTGCTTCTGCAAAGACTTACAGCTTCGGAAACCCGCTGATGCAGTTCCTGGAGCGTCGAGGCGTCAGAATCAACTTGATGGCAAAGGGTCGTTTTCTGAGGGGTGGAGGTTGAGTACCTCAAAATGTATGAACTTGTATCGTTGAAAATCATGCAATTTCATTGCATGACAGTTATGGTTGTTTAAGAAATTTACTGTGCCTCTGACTCACCTGGGGATCTGGTTAGCACATAGGTCTGGCTCATTAGATATGGGGGGGTTGTTGTTAGGTGCCATTGGGTTGGTTCTGACCCATTATAACCCTATGCACGACGGAACGAAGCACCGCTTGGTCCTGAGCCATCCTCACCGTTGTCCCCAGGTCCAAATGTGTTGTTGCAGCCACTGTGTCAATCCCTTCATGAGGGCCTTTTTCTTTTCTGCTGCCCCTCCACTTTACCAAACATGTCGCTTTGCCCCAGGGACTGGTCTTCCTGACAATATTTTCAAAGTATGTACGACAAAGTCTTGCTATCATCGCCTCTAAGGAGCACTCTGATCATACTTCTTCCAAGACAGATTGGTTTATCCTTTGGCAGACCATAATAATTTCATTATTCTCCTCCAGCACCACAATTCAACTAAATTGATTCTTCGTCGATCTTCCTTATTCATGTCCAACTTTCACATGCATACGGTGCATTGGAGAATACCATGACTTGGGTCAGTTGCACCTTAGGCTTCAAAGTAACAGCCTTGATTTTTAATACTCTAAAGAGGTCTTGTGTAGCAGATTTACCTCATGCAGCATTTCTCTTGATCTGGGGTAGGACCTGAGATTCTACATTTCTATAACCTTCCAAGTGATGCTGTGGTTGCTGGTCTATGGGCCACATTTTGAGCTAGCAAGGTTCTGGGTGGTCTAAGCAATAGAATTTTCTATAGTTGGAGTGTTGCAATATCTGGTGTGGTAGTTACATAATCTGGTGTCAACTTGTAAAGAGGTGGAGTCTAGCCTGTCAATCAGGTCACAGCTTGATGACCTCATTTGGAGATCAATATCTCACTGGAGGCCAGATACATTTAATATAGACCTTCTCTGTTTCACATTCCTGATGACAAGACACATGGAGGCACACTGATGGCAGTCAGGGCCCTGGAGCTGGAGGAGCCACGTGGAGACCCATGCCACCACTGAGATACTTCCACCACCACTGGCTGCACAAGACTTTCCACTCACTGGCCTGTGATGTCCCCATACTCAGCGTCACTGCACATGTTGTGTGAGTCTGAAGAGGAATTTATAGATTGGTATTGGACATATGGCTAATATTGGACTTATGAACTTGATCTGGACTGCTTTCTTAATATAAAGTTACTCTTTGATATAAAGTTCTCCCTTACACACATTTGAATGTCTATGAATTTGTTTCTCTAGTCAACCCGACTGATACATCTGGTGAGCTTTTTCTGTTCTGATAAAAAACATTAGAGGGGAAAACAAAAGGAAAACTTACTTCGACCGGAAACCACATGCAGGAGCCGTCTTCAGGATACACAAACATTCCATAAGCTGGCTGGATCATCTCTTCAAACACACAGAGGAAGAACTCCGACTTGACTCCTTGGCCCACAGAAACAATCTCTTCCATAAATTCAACCTGAGGACCGAGGACACACTTCCAGGTTTAGGTTTAAAACATAATGTCTTCATCTTCCAGAACTTTGCACAAACTCAGATGAGACCTGCAACCCAGACTGGCTCGACTGAGCTCAGCGCATCCTCAACTGAACTGCACACCCGGGAAACCATTCATTGCTGTTCTGCCTTAGCTTAAATCAGCGGTTCTCAACCTGTGGGCTGCCTTTCCCTGGGGTCGCCTAAGACATCCTGCATATCAGATATGGTAGTTACATTGTGATTCATAATAGTAGCAAAATGACAGTTATGAAGTAGCATCGAAAATCATTTTATGGTTGGGGGTCACCACAACCTGAGGAACGGTATTAAAGTGTCACGGCATTAGGAAGGTTGAGAATCACTGCCTTAAGTCATTATGCAAGGTTTTCCTAGCCATGGGCAACTAATAGTTCATACATAACCAAATGTGCAATTACACACCCCATAGCTGTTCTCTGAAGGATAAGAGGGGAATTCCAGAAGCCATAATATGGATAACCATCATTGGAGGTACTGGATTTTATAAGGGAGACTTTGCAACATTTTATAAACACTTCCCTCCCCTCCCTCCCCATGCCCCGCATCATTAAAATATCCAGAGAGATTCTTTACTGTACCACTAAGGATTTGTTAAGGTCCAAGTCTTCAGCTTTTCTTAATTGTCGAAGAGTATCCTCAACCATGTGATCCCGTCTGACTCTAAGTTTAAATTTGGGCGGTGAAGGAAACTCATTGCTTCTTTGTAAAATCATTTGCATCCGATTCTGGTATGCTATGTTTTCTAGCCCCTAGAAAAAGAAATATTCTCTTGGGTTTCTCCTTTTTTGAGCTCACCTACCAGAAGTACTTGTATTTCAAATAAACATTTTAAGGTATGGATGTTTGCTATTACTATATGTACTCACGTTGTAATGATTAAAGGGAAAGGACATCATTTCTACACTGGAGAAAAGAATATCTAGATAACTGAAAGCTATTTCGCACCACATGTTAGAGAGCAAACATGACCCTTAAAGGCAATACTGGCATCCGACTCGCTGGGGAGCTCACCTGGCGTCAATCTTTAAGCTGCCTTATCAGTATAAAGGCAATTTGGGAGCTCTAGGTTGAGATTAGCTTTAAGCAAAAGTCTGGAGGACTTGCTCCTAGAAGAGTCATTCTTATCCAAATAACTATGATATAGCCACAGCTATATCCCTAAACACAGTAACTCCCTAAAACTATACCACACCCCCACCCCACCCCATGGCCTCCGTTTGAATCCATTTCTGCTCCCAACCACCTTCTATAGCACTTCCCTTTAGCCTTTCTGAATTCTCAACACTCTCTTACTCGGATTCTTACCTTCATTGATTGGCAGCCTAACATTGAAAATTGCTCTCCATGCCTTGAGCTTAAGCTCTTTTCTAGGGCTTCTGGTTTATCACAAGGAAAATACAGGAGAATTTAGAACGCAAGCTAATGCAACTCTCCTGGGGCCTGTCCCACAAGAGTGACAGGAGGACCGTGGATAACAAGCTCCCAGGTGGAGTGCGGTCGCTCACATTAGCTCTCTACAAGCAACTCGGCTGCAGACTTGCATCAGGGCTTGGGATAGCCTACCCCAAAGTCTTTGCCAGTATTATCCACTGAGACATTCAGGTGTGATCCTACTATAGGCTTCTGCTTTTCCCTTACAATGTTGTTCAGACGGAGCTGCAGGCTTAAAGGAAAATTGAACAAGTGCTATTTCTAGTCCTTCCTGGTAGTAGGCCCTCTCCATCCTACGGCCAGGGAGTCTGTAGCTTATGGACACTTAGCAACAGTGAGTGACAAGGAGTAGCCAGCAATGTCGCTCACCAGGTACAATTGTCTGTGGCCGGCTACAGGCCCACCTTTCTCTCAGCCAACTATGTGTGTGTCTGGAGACCTGCATCTCATTTTGTTTCTCAGCTTCTCTCTTCAAATTCACCTACATTGGGTTTGCCTCTGTACTTTTATCTGTTTCAATTGCTAGCCTCGTTTGAAGATGACAACTATGCCCATACGCCTCAGCTTTCCTCGAGGACAGGACTCTGGAGTTGGCTTTCCAGCTGCACCCACGGCAGAGACTTTTTAGCGTCACGTGCTCAAGTCCTTGCTATCTTTCCTGGCCTGCAACCTGCCCTGGCCCACCTCCCACACGAATCATAGTAGAGTTGTTGTTGTTAGTTGTCACCAAGTCAATTCCCACTCCCGGTGTCCCCAGGTGTGCAGAGTGGAATTGCTTCAGAGGTCTTCAAGGCTCTGACTACTTAGGACCAGATCACTACGCCTGTTTTGTGGCCTTGATCCACTAACCTTTGAGTTGAGTGTTTAACCATTTGTGCTACATAAGCCAAGACTATCGTTGTACTGGAGAACCCTAGAGGGAGCGACTTGTTTAAAGGAAACCCTAGGGGGAATTCAGATTTGAAAAGGACAGCCATAGTCCATTTTCTCCCTTTACGATGGATGTTAGAGAACTTTTAAAACTAGAGATACTGTCGAAAAATAGCAGATGGTCCAGGTAGCGTTCTGTGTAACATACTGGTGACCGATCTCTTGGCACATACACAAATGTTAACTAGAAATAGTGTCTTTATGCAGGCTGTTTATTGTAAAGAAAACTAGAGTATATGGATTTTTGAAGCATGATTCATTGGGAAATATAATGCAAGCTGTGTAAGGTGATGTAAAATGGAAATGTTTTATAACTGGATTGGCTTCTTTAAAGGACATGGTGTCCTCAACTCCTCTATGTTTCAAACCCAATTCACTGTCATGGAGTCTGCCATCATTACCACCCCATGTGAAAGAGTAGACTGTCCCCTTTGGTTTGGGGGGGGGAGCTGTAATTCTTTATGGGAGCAGAAAGCCTCATCTTTTTTCCCCCCAGCCCACTGATTGGTGGTTTGGAACCACAGACTGGCCAGTTAGCAGCCCAACATCTAACCCAGTTTGTCACCAGGGCTCCAGACCAAGCACACAGTCATCCCTACAGCTAGCTCAAGGAGGAGAAGGAAGCAGGTACTAGATTGTCTCCGTATTGCTCAGAGTGGGAAAACAACGGATAGTATCTAAAGAAAATGAAGACTACTGCGTTCTATAAAGTCATTATATTACAGGTACATACCAGGCAAAAGGAAAATCTTCCTAAATTCTAAAAGAAATATAAAACTAAAAGAAAGAAGATAAAACAAATCACATAGAGACCGAGAATTTATAGGTACATTAAATATGGCATAAAGGAGAAAAAGAAAGAGCAACTATCATTTTATGTAAAATGCAAAATACGATTTTGATAGCAGATAGTTAGGCCAAAAGTACTTAAAATGGGTTTTGTCTTTGTTATTATTAGCTGCCATCGAGTTGGTTGAGACTCACACATAATGACCGTGTGTACCACAGACCTAAACATCACCCAATCCCGCCCCATTCTCCCAGCTGTTCTTATGCTTGAGCCCCTTTGTCGCGGCCACGGTGTCAGCCCATCTGTGCAGGACCTTCCTCTCTTTCGCTGCCTCTCCGTGTTCCTAAGCTTGAGGTCCTTCTCCAGGGGCGGGTCTCTGCTGGCAACATGTCCAAAGTGTGTGAGCTAAAGTCTTGCCATCTTTGCTTCTGAGGGGCGCTCTGGCTGTACTCAGCCAGAGCAGAGTGGTGGGTTCTTTGGGCAGTCCATGAGGCTTCCATATTCTTTACCAGCAGCATAGTTCTTAGATCTTCCTTATTTAATGTCCAAGCTTCACTTGTATCTGAGGCAATTGGAGATAACACGGCTTGGGTCAGTTGCACATTGATCCTCAAACTAACGTCTTTGCTGTCGTTTTGAAGAAGTGTTGTGTCTGATTTACCCGGTGTAATTTGTTGTTCGATCTCTTGTCTACTGCTCCCATGATACCGATTGTGGATCCAACCAAGATGAAATACCTGACAAATTCTGTCTTTTCTCTGTTTATCATGATGCTACCTATGGTAGAATTGTGAAGATGTTTGTATTCTTTATATTTAATTGTAATCCCCAAAGGCTGCAATCTGCGATCTTCATCAGCAAGTGCTTCAAGTCCCTACTGTCAGCAATCGAGATTGTGTCATCTGCATATCAAAGGTTGTTAATAAACCTTCCTCCAATACTGATGCTATATTCATTTCCATATAAGTCAGCTTCTCTGATTATTTGCTCATTATAGAGATTGTCTAAGTATGGTGAAAGGATCCAACATTGGCACACACCTTTCCTGATTCTAAACCATGCAGTGCACCCTCTTGATGCATGGACAGGTTCTGCAGGAGCACAAAGTAGTGTTCTGGAATTCCCATTCTTCTCAAGGCTATCCATAGTTTGTTATGATCCACACAGTGAAATGCCTTGGCACGGTCAATAAAACACAAGTAAGCATCTTTCTCGCATTTTCAGCTTTCAGCCAATATCCATCTGACATCAGCAATGAAATCCCTTGTTCCACATCCTCTTCTGAATCCTGCCTGAACCTCTGGCAGCTCCCTGTCAATGTACTACTACAACTGTTGCTGGAAACAACAAAAATAGAAACTTAATTGGAGATAGTATGATATAATTTTGCAAGTCCAGTGACTTCTCTTAATGAAAATACCGTTTTTTTCAACAGTGAATAGATGTGTGGAATTCTTCAGATAGAATACATGGAAATTGACTACATCCGTGGAAAGAGATGATGGACAAGCTCAACATCAGCAGCTGAAATGAGGCCAGGGGTCATTTTGGAGCAGACCGTCAATTGCTCATATGTTAAGTTGAAGTTGAGGGAAATGAAAATAAACGTTGCGGAAACCTTTTTTTTTTTTTTTTTTGAGTGACCATGCTGAATTTGAAATACCATTGACAAAGCTTCCAGCATCACAGCAATATACCAGCCGCCACAGTGTGACAAACTGACAGACAAGTGGTAGAAAACAAGTTCGTGAGAGCCAAAAGAGGACCTCCAAGCTTCACGTTACAAATGTGAACGGTTCTATGGGCAAAATATTCAAGGAGGCAGGAAGCACCAAAGGAAGATGGAAAGGGTACAGAGTCACTGTACCAAGAAGAACTAGTTGGCATTCAGCCATTTCAAGAGGTAGCATATGAGCAAGAGCCAATGGTGCTGAAGGAAGAAGTTTAAGCTGCACTGAAAGCATTAGCCAAAACCCTGGCTCCAGGAACCGAGAGAACACCAATAGAAATGTTTCCACAACCAGATGAAGCACTGGAAGCACTCACTCATCTTTCCCAGGAAATTCGGAAGACAGCCACTTGGCCAACTGACTGGGAGAGATCCATATTTGTACCCACTGCAAAGACAGGTGACCCAATGGAATTTGCAAGTTAGAAGGGGTAGAGCAGTATAATGCTACATTACAAAGTAATGGATAAATTATGATTAAATCATAAATTTAGTTGATAAATCACGAATTATAATTAACGTATAACAATTATCAATGTTAATGCACTAAATAAAGGAGCACTGGTAGTGTAGAGGTTAAAAGTGGTTGGCTGAAAACTGCTAGGTTCACAGTTCAAAGTTAACAGGTGCTCTGTCAAAGAAAGATGCAGTGTTTTGCTTCAGTCAAGATTTATAGCCTGGGAAGCTATATGGGCCAATATGTATCAGCATCCACTCACCAGCACTGAGCTGTGCACTAAAAAACTGCAGTTAAGTCCATAAGAATAAAAACGGTAGGAGATAGAAGAAAGACCAGATCCATCATCAGGTGGAAATCAAAAATGTCCAACCCCATTTATTGAGGAGATCCTTCCTTCCTCATTGCATGCGTCTGGCACCCTTGTTAAAACTCATGTGAGCAAACATGTATGAACTTATTCCTGAACTCCCCACTCTACTCTATTGTCGGCTATTATAACAATATCAGGCTGTCGTCACTGCTCTGGCTTTATAAGGTAGAATGTTTGGAAATCAGGGAGTGTGGGTCCTCCTATTTTACTCTTTTCCTTCACAATTGCTCCAGCTACTAGGGAGTCTTGAGGTTTCATACAATTTGTAGGTTTCCTTTGTCTCTTTCTGTAGAGAAAGGCACACTGGTGACGCAGGGAGTTACTTATCGGGCTGCTAGCCACAAGGTCAGTGGGTGGAAACCACCTCTGCTCATCAGGAGAAAGAAAAGGTTTCTACTCTGTAAAGAGTTACAGTTTCAGAAACCCAGGGTGCCAGGCCCACACTGTCTTACAGGGCTGCTATGAGTCAAAAATAAAATCTTACTCATTACCATTAAAAGTAGCTTTAGCACTGTTTCCTATGCAAATTTGTCATTAAAGAGGAAGGATTAAGCACTATGCCACCTTTCCACTATGTTTTCTTTCAAAATAACCTGATAGCCCTGAAGAATGAGAAAAAGTTTTTTGCTATTTATTAAAACAGGAGACATCCTGTTGACATTTCTAAAAAGAACCACAGAATTAGATAAGAGCTTTAAACACATGGAATGAAAGATCATGGAAATTTTCCCCATGAATTTTTTTAAGTTTCCTCATAGTATCACTACACTTGCTTCTTGCGTGTGGACTATCTCACTGTTTGGCATCTCAGTCACAATCATAGTAAGAAAACGGCCATCCAACCTCCTTGCACATTATCTATGTTTCTCTAGCAGTGATGAATGCAGAAGGGTGAGGTGAGAGTGACGCTGCTGTGATGGTCAGGTTACACAGTAACTTGGCTGGGTCATGATTTTCAGAGACTCTGCAGGGATGTAATGATATAGTCAGTCATCCTCCCTTTAATGACCTGATGTGTTCTTTCTCAATTTTTGCATAATGCTGGTGTGTATAAAGATCACGTCAGTAAGTGAGGAATGGGCACATTTCCCAAAACTTAACAAATGATTATAAATAGGCATAGATCATAATAGATGAAATTGTTCAGTAAAAGGCTTATTGGGGAACTTTATGTTGGAAGAATCATGTGGTCCCCATGTGAATCCACTGATAAATCTCAGTACGAACCAGACAGCTAGACACAATGCAGTGAGTTATGGAGAGGTGAATGTAACACAAATAAAGAGAAGCGTGAAATGAGGCAAATGCTGCAAAATACTGTTAATTATTGTCTATGTTTGCAATTTGGCATAATAAAAAAGTAGGGCATACGTACTTGCATTTTAAGAAATGAATCAGCTTCCAGTAATTTCATTTTAGAGACAAAATTAAATACAAATGGAAATTCACTGAAAATAACTGCTCTGCCACTTTCTTCTGGTACCTAAAAAATAAACAAATGGTTTGATAAAAAATTTTTTTTTAAAGAGAGAGAAACTTCATTCTTTCACCTCATCACTGTAAATTGTTTCCACCTATACTTTTGGAATCTATTCCAAACAATAATAATAGCAACATATGTGAAAATATGCTTGATACAATTAATGTATAGATTGTTATAAGAGCTGTAAAATCTCCCAATAAAATTATCTTTCAATAAAAAAAAAATAAAATAAATGGTTTGGGACTATTAAGAAAAAAAAGAATCCAAATGACCTAGAGATATATTTCTTTAAAAATATAGTTGTGTTTGTGAGTGAAATACACTCAAGTCTTCAGCAATCATCTAATTTAGTGAATTTAGGATTTCAATGAAGTGATTTCCAAACTATACAATTACTAATGTGTCTCCGTTAACATGTGAAACTTTTAAGAAGAAAACCCGTTGCTCTCACCAGCCCTGCATTCCGTAAGTAAAGTTTTCTTCTGTCCCAAGGAAAGTTGAGAAGAGTGGAGAGTTCATCTATGTGGAAAGCATTTTCAGGCAGTCGGGAATTAGCTTTGTTGACCTTAAAGAGAATGTGAGCTGTGAATTTCCTTATCTATTAATAAACAATATATGATGCATATGTCTCCACTAATTAATACATATTAATTTGGCACACAAAATTTGTCAGGCATGGCACAAACCATAAGACCATGGTCCTGTTCCAGCTTGAATTGATCCTGCATAATTTATTGTCTACCGCAGGCAAGATGCATCAAACTGTTTTTTATTAATAGTCAGACAACACATATTCCAGGTTTGTGGGACATACAATCCTTGTCATGACTGTTCAACCCCTCACTGGCAGTACAAAGGCAGCTGTAGACAATATGTAAACAAATCAGCATGAGTGTGTTTTAAATTTTTATTATTTACTCAAAGAGGAGAGTGCATGGCCCACAGGTTTGTTATACACAGTGTCGTACAGGGGCAGCGGCGATCTATTGATCTTGAGCCCTATACGACTCGGTATGTGTACGTGGCTCTGCAGTAAAACTGAAAATGAACATAAAGGACTATTATTTAGAGAATTGTGATTTCATTTGTTTGTAAAAAGATATTTTTGGCTCTGGAATAGTTTTTAAATTGTTGAGAGGGATAGGATTGACTCTTCCATCTCAGAAGTTTGCCGACCCCTCCTCTAGTGGGTAGCAATGACAAGCAGCCGCATTCGTGGCCCTGCGTGCGAACCCGCAGAGATGGGGAGGGACTTACGAGGCTGAAGAAGGCTTCTCAGAGGAAGAAATACTTGAAAATCAATGAGTCAATCTCTAATGCAAGCAAGCAATCCCAAAGCTATCAAGTGGGAAGGAAGAATCTAGAAATACGAGGGACATGAAAACACGTGTACAGAAGGGGGCACACCAAACTAAAAGGTTGGGTTTTTAAACAAGCAAACAAAACTTTTCTGATAAAATTGGTCCAAGGGGGAAACAGAAAAGGTAAAAATCTGCACCAGTCCCCAAAGTTAGGTGAGACAATTATAGAAGGTGATCGTTGTTTTTGCTGATAATAAATTGAAATAAGAATACCACACACACACACACACACACACACACACACACACACAAAGGTAAAAATCAGCAGTCAGGCCTGCCGACAGGGACCGGGGAAACTGTGGGTTGCTGTGATCACAAGATACAAAAACAGGAAGTTTTGGAATCTAGATAAAGTAATCACCTTCCTAGCAAAAGAAAACAGACCCGAGAAGAAACAGAAAAATACGAATCACCCTTAAGTGGATTAAACTCCACATTTTAAATGTACCACAAAGAAATCTTTAGCTTTAAGAGGGTTTCCAGATTCATTCTATCCACCGTCTAAGGAAAGAACATGTATGTTCTCCCATTGAACTGAAAAAGAGCATAATTTATAAATTCTCAAGGGTTCATGAGGAAGGGGGGAGTGGGGAGGGAGGGGAAAAAATGAGGAGCTGATGCCAAGGGCTTAGGTGAGCAAATGTTTTGAGAATAATGAGGGCAATGAATGTACAAATGTGCTTTACACAATTGAGGTAGAGATGGATTGTGATAAGACTTGTATGAACCCCTAATAAAATGATTTTTTAAAAAAGAACTGAAAAGAGGAAATATTTCCTGTGTTACTTCATGGGAACTTGATCCAGAATCCAGAGAAGGAGCTTATGAGAAAGTAAACTAATAGGCCATTCTCCCTCATGAGCATCGGTACACAATTCTAAGCAAAATATTAGCAAACTGGGTTTGTGAATTATATAGAGAAGAATCCTGTTTTATATACGTCACATAGAAAACAACGTATCACGTGCAAGGTCAACTAGTTTAGGGCGCAAGGTTAGCTTTGCAAATCCATCTGTGTAGTTTACAATACTAACAGAATGAAAGGAGAAAAATTGTATGTATTTGGTGAGAGAAGTGATATGAGCAGAGGTAAACTTTTAAACCTTAATATGCTTAGTTTTACCAGGTAGAATAGATTGCACAAAGAGTGATGGTAGTGTAGCCTATTAGGGTAGATCAATGCAGTGTTTCTTAATAGTAGTCAGTAAATTGCAAGGGGTCTTACTCTTAATGGGAAGTATTTATATACAGTAACAAAACTAATTTTTCCCCCTGTAAAGTGTATCAGCTGGACAGCTTCTTAGTTTCAGTTCATCGAGCATATGAAGAATTTATTGAGGCTCAGATGAATGTTTTATAATTCCGCTTCTCAGACTAGTTATTCAGTTTTAGATTTAATAATATGTTGTCTTATTCATACCTATAATTGACTACTGGTAGAAGTTAGGAAGCATAAGAGTGTTGACTTTGATTGGGCAGGTATTTGAGAAATCTTCCAAGAGAATAAAAATGTATCCAGGCTGCACTAGAATGGAATGCAATTGCATAAATCATCTTAAGGCGATGTAACCATGGGGTTAGGGAACAGCTCTAAGGTTGATGGGAGGGTGATTACACAACTCTCCGTGATATGATCGAATGATTGAACTATTGAATTATATGATAAGTAAATTACTTGCCAATAACACGGTTGGGGGAAAAAAGACTTCACTAAGAAATGTTAAAAACAGAAAATATAGTAACAATATTTTTAAAAGGAAAAATTGTATACAGAAAAAAATTTAATAAAACCCACATGCAGATACGCCCACATATGAGTACCTGGCGGGAAGACTGTTACCCATGCGATACCATGCTTCAAAACAAAATTCCATTTATGTAATTAGAAATAAACTATTTCACAATATATAATTACATATTGTTTTTTGTGATTAATCACTATGCTTTAATTATGTTCAATTTGTAACAAGGAAAACACATCCTGCATATCAGATATTTACATTATGATTCATAACAGTAGAAAAATTACAGTTATGAAGTAGCAACGAAATTAATTTGATGGTTGGGGGTCACCACAACCCGAGGAACTGTATTAATTAAAGGCTGGCAGCATTAGGAATGTTGAGAACCATTGTCTTATATTTTCCTGGGGGTGATCACTTTTTAAATCGCCAATGATTTTCTTGAAAACATTTCCCATTTACACACCATTTCATAAAATACTAACTAAAATTGCTTTAAATACTATAATATTTGATTCTTAAAAAGGCAACAGGCTGAGTGAAGCCTAAGAGATTTTGAGTTAGCAAAATATTAAAGCCATTCCTTTAGATGAGCTCTTACCTTATACACTTCTTTCATCACTCTTAGAAGAACTTTAGCATCGCCGTGCCTGGTTTCAGTCCAACAATCCAATTGAGAGATGATGGTCTTTTTAAGCATCTGGACTAATGTATTCAGAGAAGATTCATGCAAAGATGCCCAACATTTCTCTGAGGGGGATAAAATCAGCAACCATAAGTACAGGTAAAAAGAGAGAAAATACAGGTAAAATGAGAGAGGGGGAAAGCCTTCAGTTTCTGTTGATTTTTTAATGTAAGAAATAGATGATATTTTTCATTTTGATGTGACAATTCACCAAGTATCTTCCATAAGGAAATTATACAGCATACTATTCATTACTCCCACATACGAGAAGAACCATTTCTTTTTCTCTTTGATTAACTATCATTATCCTTAAATACTAGAATTCAACATTCTGAAGAATTTATGATACTTCAATTTGATGCTTGATGACTTCATTGACTTTATAATTCTTAAACTGAAATCTTTCCTATATGTCTATAAATTCTGAAAATATCACTGAATATATAACTCTATGCCTCTGGTTATATCTATATCATTAAGGACATTTTTATCCATGAAATGTAAACAGTTGGTATATAAAAGGATATATGGAATATAAAACAGCTTAATAATTATATTTTTATATTTCTAAGGTTGCAACCATTGTCCTGTGCCCAAGGATGATGCATAGAAAACAAACCCATCAAATGTTAACATATTATCAAACTAGTATCATTAAAATAGTATGGCTGGGATGCATCAATGACAAGTTAATGTAACAGACCAGAGATTCTAGAATGTGATCTACTTTACACGAGACATTAGAATTAGGTCTAATACATACCAGATATTAGTATATAATGCAGATGGCATTGCACACAAAAGGGCTTCAAAAGGTTCATGGAAAAATGGAATTAGAAGGTAATGAGCCCAGAAGCCATCTGCAGCGAATCTAGTCCGACTGAGCCCGCTGGCAGATCCCCTCTAGCCAAATGCAAGAGTCCCAAGAGCGTTACTGTCAGGCAGAGACCATTGTAATCTTGATTTTGCTGGGTCACACTCGACACTTGGCCAGTTGACCTCCCTATAGGCACGGCCTGAATTTATACTGGGTGCACATATCTCTTAATTGTTCCATGACAGAAATTTCTTCCCTGGGTTTTTGAGCGTTGATGGGGATCTTCTCCTTCTTGGGCATTATTTGTATTTTGGCCTTCCTCACCCACTTAGTGTGATCTGCTTCTCATTGTTTCCTGTTGGGCTTCCCAGCTGGGAAGCTCAGGAGGAGCGGATGCATAATGAGAATAACTGATACAAGGGGTTGTAGGGAATGCGGGGGGTAGGGGAGGGCGATAGGGAGGGAAAGGGGATTTCCAGAGTACTGATAGTAATTGTAGAACTCATTTTAAAGGCAGTTTAACCTGGGGATGGGGTGGGGGTGGGGGGTTGGGTGTTCGAGCTCTAAGATAGATGTGGTGGTGATTATACAATTCCCCTTGATATGATTGAACTATTGAATTATGATATGTAAATTATGTGCCAATAAAACTGTTGGGATAAAACCATTTCAGGCACATGAATTTAAAATAAAAACAGGTAATGAACCTTTTAAGTCCCGTTACGTTAATGGGAAGAAAGTGGATCATTCAACAAAAGTGTTGAGAGATGTCTAAAATTATAAAGAAACTGTGGGTTCAAACTACTGGCCTTGTGATTAGCATTTTAATGCATGCACAACACACTATATCATCAGGCTTCCTGTTTTATATATACTGTATATACTCATGTATAAGCTGAGTTTTTTGGCACATTTTAAATGTGGTTTTTGTGGTAAAATTAGGTGCCTTGGCTGCAATTTGGGTCGACTTATACTCGAGTATATGCAGTAAATTTAGATATGATTCAAAAGGTTTGTGGAAAAATTCAAATACTTTCATATTCCAATTTTTCCAGTTTGTAAAGCAATCTCCTCTCCATTTAAGAGGGGCTATAAAAAGTTAGTGGAAAAATAGAATTATAAGAAAATAGAATTATACTACAAACTTATAGAACTGGGTAACATGATAGTTCAGATTTCTATGGAGGGTTATTGAAATATTCTTTGGGCTAAATATTGAGTGATGCAGGAAGAATCAAAAGAAGATGGAAAGAATACATAGAGTCACTGTATCAATAAGATCTAGTCAGCAGTTCACCATCTCAGGTGGCAGCATGTGAACAGGAACCAGTGGTGCTGATGGAAGAAGTTCAAGGTGCACTGAATTCATTAGCTAAAAATAATGATCTAGGAATTGAAGAAATACAAACAAATGTTTCAACAAGTTTGTGAACCATTGGAAGCACCTACTCATCTAAGCCAAGAAATTTGGAAGACAGCTACTTGGAAAACTGATTGGAAGAGATCCATATTTGTACCCATTCCAAAGAAAAGTTACCCAACAGAATGCTCAAATTATAGAAAAAATATCATTAATAGCACAGGCAAATAAAATTTTGCTGAGGATCATCCCGCAATGGTGGCAACAGTACATTAACTAGGAGCTGCCCTAGGTTCAGGCCAGATTCAGAAGAGAACATAGAAGCAGGGATATCATAGCTGATGTCAGACAGACCTTGGCTGAAAGCAGAGAATACCAGGAAGATGTTTACTTATGTTTCATTGACTGTGCAAAAACATCGAATCATGTGGGTCATCACAATGTGTGGATAACCTTGGGAAGAGAAAGAAGCCCAGAACTTCATTGTGCTTGTGCGGAATCTGGATATGGATCAAGAGGCAGTTGTGCAAACAGCACAAGAGAATACTGTCTGATGTCGGATTGGGAAAGGGAAATGTGGCATCAAGATCGGAAGAAGGCTTATGAAAAATCTGTGATATGCAGCTGACACAGTTTTGTTTGCTGAATGTCAGAACTGAAGATGAAGAATTGGAACCTTCAATATGGATTACAACCAATGTAAAGAAAAATGAAATCATCGCAATTGGACCAATAGGTGACATCATGATACATGGAGAAAAGATCGAAGTTGTCAAGGATTTCACCTTGGATCCCCCAATCAATGCTCATGGAAGTAGCAATCAAGAGATATACTCATTGCACTGTGTAAATTCTCTGTTCAAAACCTCTTTTAAAGTGTGAAAAAGCAAGGAGCTTACTTTGAGGACTAAGGTAGGCCTGACCCAATCCACGGTCATTTCAACTGCCTCAGATGAATGTGAAAGTTGGACAGCGAATTAGAAAGATTGAAGAAAAATCTATGCATTTGATCGTGAAAGTATCGATGCCTGCCACAAGAACAAACACCCCTGTCTTGGAGCCAGAACGCTCCTTAGAAGCCAGGCTGGCGAAGCTTCACCTCACACGCTTTGGACAGAACAGACCAGTCCTTGCAAAGGACATCATGTGGGTAAAGTAGAGGGGCAGTGAAAAAGAGGAAGGCCTTAGACCAGGTGGACTGACGTGATGGCTGCAACAATGGGCTGGGGTTTAGAAATAACTGTGAGGACGGTGCAGGACAGGTGGTGTTTCGTTCTTTTGTACATACGGTTGCTCTGAGTTGACCTGACTCAAGTGCACCAATCAACAGCAACCACACTTGATTTGATTGAGAAGGGTAATGATCATAATAGCTTTAGTTTAATCTTTTCAGTTATTCAAAGAACAGGTTCTCAAACATTTGAAACTTTGCTGATTTCTATATCCAAACTTCGCTGATTTCTCCTTGAGACCATGACTTTCCAATGAGAATAGGTACAAAATGAAGCCCTTTGCTTTCAATTCAATTCCAATTCCTGGCAGCTCTATGTGTACAGAGAGACTGAACATAAAGTATAAGGAAACTTACTCAGGACGCCTAAAGACTTGTCGCTCATTTCACACATAGCCTCTGCAAATAGAACCACCAGGCTCTTCCAGTTGTAAGAATCCTGCATCGCAAGGCATTCTGGGAGCAGGAGGAAAACTTCTAATGCTTCTTGGTGTGGAGAACGCACTGGAAGATTCCTTAGCAGGTCATCTCTGAGACATGTTATCATCTGTGATCAAAATAGGGAAACAGCTGAGGATATATGAAATACGAAATATCACAAAAAGAAAGACATGAAACCAGGGATTTCATTCCATTAAGTTCTTTTTTT